GGAGGAGGTCAGCGCCCTGACCCACTGGTGTCAAGACAACCATCTCACCCTCAACGTTGCAAAGACAAAGGAGTTGATAGTGGACTTCCGGAGGTGCAGAGAAGTACACACCCCCATCACCATCAACAGCGCTGCTGTGGAGAGAGTGAGCAGCTTCCGGTTCCTTGGAGTACATCTGGCTGAGGATCTTACGTGGTCAGTACACATAAACAAAACAGTGAAGAAGGCGCAGCAGCGCCTCTTCTTTCTCAGGAGACTGAAAAGATTCGGCATGAGCCCCCGCATCCTCAGGACCTTCTATCACTGTGCCATTGAGAGCATCCTCACTGGATGCATCACCACCTGGTATGGCAACAGCACCGCCTACAACCGCAAAGCTCTCCAGCGAGTAGTGCGGTGCTCTGAACGGATAATTGGAGGTGAGCTTCCCTCCCTCCAAGACATCTACAGGAAGCGGTACCTGAGGAAAGCGGGGAGGATCATCAAGGACTCCAGTCACCCCAGCCATAAACTGTTCAGACTACTTCGCTGCAAAGGGGGATCACGCTTTTCAAACCCTGGCTCCAATACTGTGGAACGGTTTACCCTCCTCACTACGCACCATCGACATCTGTTTACACAGGCATTTGGGTAATGTTAATGCGTAATATGTTGTTTTATTTTATATTTATATTGTACTATTGCTTGTTTGATATGCTTTTATATTTCCTCTATGTTGCTATATTGTTTGTTTGACATGTCTTCATGTGAAGCACTTTGTAACAGCGTTTTTGTCTTAAAAAGTGCTATATAAATAAATTTTACTTACTTACTTACTTACTTCCATCAGGAAGGAGGTTCTGCAGCATCCGGTCCCGAACCAGCAGACTGAGAGACAGCTTCTTCCACCAGGCCATCAGACTGCTGAACACGTCATAGACACCTCACCTCCACTACTGGAACTTCAACATTATGCACTCCATACTGTACAGTAATGCCACTGTTTTGCACATGTCTCAACTCTGTATATTTTTATATATTTTATTTATTGTTTACTCTATTTAATTTGTAAAATATGTGTATACACACACACACGTAGAAAAACATTTAGTATACACATCCAGAAATTTTTTTTTTTGCATATGCTATTATATATTGTACATATATTTATTAGTTTCAGATTTAGCCATTCGTATATTTTGCCTGTTTATGTTATTGTATTTTGCACAACTCTGTTGCTTGTGAAGCTCGCACACAAGAATTTCACTCACATGTGCTGTACCAATGTACCTGCACATGTGATGTGACAATAAAAGTGATTTGATTTGATTTGATTTGATTTGATTTGACAGAGAAGCTCTTCTACCCCTGTACACGGGAGGAAACAGGACTGGACAACCGTGAATAGGAAGGTTAACAACAAACCTCCAAAACAACTGAATGTGAAACTGCAGAACAGATTTGCTCCACTATCAAAGGACCCTGGATCTATATCGGACAACCATCCATCTAAAAGCAGCGAAGTAAGGTCTGAAAATCTGTTGAAAAGTAAAAGGCCACAGGGAAAGCTAAAGGCTAGGCCTGAAACTCTGATTGTGGGTGACTCTGCTGTAAAGGATGTACAAAGGATGTGCGGTAAGAACACTAAAGTCATCTGCTTTCCTAGGGATATGGTCAACAACCTGAAGGAGAGAATTCTTCAAATTGCAGATGAATATCCAACTGTGACAAACATTGTTCTGCATACAGGGTCAAACGATGTGTCCAAACAACAGTCGGAGGTTCTGAAACGGGACTTTACTGGATTATTAAATACTGTAAACTCTCTGAATGCAGCTGTATTCATCAGTGGACCTGTACCGCCTGTCAGAGGAGGAGACGAGAGATTCAGCAGGTTGTTTGCACTGAATAAATCAGCATGTGCTGACCACTCAGTGCATTTTATCAACAATTTTAATATTTCTTGGGAACGCAGGCATCTGTTTAAAGCAAATGGATTTAATTTTAACAAGTCAGGGGTGAAACTGTTCACCTCCAACTTGTTTTATTCCATACGTCATCCATCTGTGCTTGGTGCCAAGGCTGAGATAAACGAGGCGTTATCTCATAAAGAGGAACAAACAGTACTCCAAGAACAGACAAAACCCAGCAGAAACCTTGAGGAGGAGCTCCATCTGCCCCCACCTGGGATGAGCAAGAAGAGGGGTCCCTATTTGCCTCCAACTCTCTCAACAACACCAACGACCAGGACCAGGACCAGGGACCACGACCTTCCCCAGTCCCCCAAACCCCTGACAAGCCAACACCCTCCTCCCCCTCCCTTTCTCCCTCCTCGCCACACCTGAAATTCACTGAGGAGATGATGGAGCTGGTCAATGTTGGGCTCAGATCTACCCCCCGGCCCAATCCCTTTTTGTCCCCCATAAACCCCCCACCAGAGCAGTTAAAGGTTCGCCATCGAGCCCCGTCCTCAACAGAGCAATCGAAGTTACATTGCCCAGCCTCGCCCCCCTTAGTTCCTCCTTACCACCTTCATGCTCTGTCTCCGCAGTCTGATGTGTGATGTGTGGAGGGTCCGGGCTGCGAGGATTATGGCAGTGGTGACTTTTCCCAGGAGAAGCTGGGACCCTGTTTACTAGAAGGTTTTAAAATTTCTGTACTTTTAGGTGACAGGAGACATGTGGCCTGGTCAAAACACAGAGAGCTGCACTCTAAAAGATCTTTAAACATAGTAAACATACCTCGTGTGCCACAGACTGCTCCCAAACAGGAGGGGACAAGTAATACCTCTAAAACACTTAAGCTGGCTTTATTAAACGTTAGATCTTTAGCTGGGAAAACGTTTTTAATTAATGATTTAATCACTGAGCACAGCCTTGATTTTATGTTTTTAACTGAAACTTGGTTGGACCAAAGTAACAGTGGAGCTGTCCTCATCGAGACGACCCCTCCTAACTACAGTTTTATCAGTGAGGTCAGGGTGAGCAGGAGAGGAGGAGGGGTTGCTGTCTTATTTAATGAATCATTTCAATGTAAGCAGCTATCTCCTGGAAGTTTTCAGTCTTTTGAATATGTGGCTTTACAGCTGAAGGCCCCATCCAAAGTTGTGTTTCTTAATGTTTACAGGCCTCCCAAATACTGCACAGACTTTTTTAATGACCTCAGTGAACTGCTGTCTGTGATCTGTGTTGATTTGGACTGTGTAATTATTGCTGGGGATTTTAACATCCATGTGGACAACCCTCAGGACAAAGGGACTAAAGACCTGAGTAACACTCCGGGCAACTTTGGGCTGACTCAGCATGTAACAGAGGCCACACATAATAGAGGACACACTCTTGACCTACTGATCTCCAAGGGCCTGAACATTTCGAAGGTTACTGTGTCTGATGTGGGCCTGTCTGATCATTACTGTGTTTTCTTTGAAAGTAAAAGTTCAGCCCACACAAATATATCAACAGCGGTGATCACAAAACGGTGTATAACTGAACACAGTTGTGAGATATTTACCAGGTCTTCCCATTAACACCTGACCTGTCCAGAGGTTCAGTCAATGAGCTCGTCAATAGCTTCAATGCTAAAATGTTAAATGTAATGGACACTTTTGCTCCTGTCAATGGAAAATTGTACTTAGTAGTCAGTATAATCTTTCAGTGATATAAGTTTGCATATGGTAGAATACTGCATGTAATCACTTGTGTGTAGAAGTATATAGTTTGTGGCATATTGAAAGATTGTCTCATCCTAGGAGGTCTGTAACATTCTAGGGTGTTCACCCCCACATCCTAGGAGCATGGGAGAGGTCGTACCTTGTCTTATTGTTTTACGGTAGGATTAACGTAGTTATGTCAGTTTTAGTCTAAGTGCCTTTTGTTTAGATGAACTGCTGGACTTCTTCACTGTGTTATCTAGGGTGAACCATCTAGGGTGAGGGGGAGACTACCCTCTTTATGACCAAGGCTGTTCCTTTTGTGCTGTTATATGACCCTTTGATCAGCAGGACCCCCCCCCCCCACACACACACACACACACACGCACACTGAAGTATAAATAAAGACCGGGGCAGTTTCTCAGCGCGAGTCTCTCAGTCTGGAGGCTGCCCTTGCTAGCAAGAAGTTCTGTGTGTTTCTCTTCTCTGAGTCTTTACTGAAGAAGTGTTTTAGAATATATTCCTTAACAGCTCCCATTAAGGTGAAGGTTATCTCTGGAAGGAAAAAGTCTTCCTGGAGAAACTCCACACTGGTGAAAAATGAAAAAAGAGAGTGTAGGAAAGCTGAGCGCAGATGGCGAAAAACAAACCTCCAGGTTCAATTACTTCTTAAAACAGAATAACTGCTATGATGCCTTCCAGTCAGGTTTTAGACAGAACCACAGCACTGAAACCACTCTGACCAAAGTGTTTAATGACATATGTCTGAACACAGACAGTGGAAAAATGTCAGTCTTAGTTTTGCTGGATCTCAGTGCAGCATTTGATACAGTTGACCACAACATATTACTCAAACGAGTAATGTGGGCAGCATTGTTTGACTTTGTTGTGCATGTTCTTCAACCCTCCTGCTTTAAACCAGCTGCTTGCTCAGTGATGAGAAAATTACACTTCCCTTTTTCTTGCGTTCATGGCGCAGATGTCACTGAAGCAGTACTCGCCACCTATAGCTAGCACTACAGAAGGGTTACAGACTAGTGAACGCCACACTCACTTCCACTAACATCTCTTGGGGCCTCATATTTAAAAGTACAGTGAGAAGCAGTAAGATTTAAGAATCAACTTGAAATGTCTGCAACATTTGACATGAAACAAAAGAACAGGAAATATTGGTTTCTGGCCATAAAGTGCCAGTCAGTCAATTGTCCACTTAATTTTCAGCTCCTGAAAAAGGGAACGGTCTACTGCTCAGTGAGGTGGTTTAGTCAGATTACTAAGAAATGTTTTCCCATTCTTTGTTTCTTTGACACAAATTTATTATAATTATTATCTTTTTTAAAAAAAATCAGAACAAAAACACAGTAGCTTCAAATATTTTTGGAAGATCAACATTTATTTATTTCACATTGTTAGGAAAGATCACACATCAAGATTCATATGCTTTCCATAGTGTTAGTGCAGCATTTGTTTCCACGTAGGCCTGCAGATATAATGCAGCCTAATGAGGAATGTAGCAGGAATGTAATGGGTTTTACTGAGGTTATATTTTGATCTGGAAGATTTCTATGACAGCCTTTGCATAGTTTTCACCCGGGGGTGGCTTCCTCTTACTGCCTGGCTGCAGAAACCTGTTGATGGCAGGGATTTGGATCATCCTGCCCTGGAAAGACTGTGAGGAAACACAGAAAGCTGACTGAGCATTTCACGGTACTTGGTTTAATAATAACTGCCATTCCATGTATAAAATAAAGAAAAAACAAAATCTAAAAAGAGAACCTCTTACCTGATTTTTTTTTTTAAACCAAAACTTTATTTATTAAAGATTGAAAAATTGGACCTTTATACCCTGAAATAGCATGCATGTCCCAGAAAAAACCCTGTAAAGGGCCTGTAACTTTAAAGGTAAATACAAACTTTCATGGTGTCATTTAAAAAAACCAAGTGTTATGATAGAAGAAGGTGTTTCTGTCAACGTTACCTTAACAGCAGAGAAGTCTTTGAGAATCCCAACGCATTTCTCCTCTAGCATCAGGGTGCATTCAACCAGCAGCACATCTGCGAGGCTTAGTTTGCCTCCCACCAGGTACACGGGTCCGGTCAGAGCCTAAGACGTTTGTCCAAAAACACATAGCACATACTTTAGTTGTCAGAAACCATTATAATCATCAACAACTCATTTTATTCTGTTTTTCTACCTTTTCAAACACAGGAAAGTAGCGTTCCTTTGCTTTTTTCTCAATCTCTTCCAGTTTGGCTGTGGGGTCTGGATTGAAGGGCAGCACCATAATCATTTCCATGAGGTCCATCAGTCCCTCGGAGTACATGTTGATCCTAAAAAACAAAAACAACAACAGCAAAAAAAAAAATAAAAAAAAAATTCTTCAATTACAAGACGGACTATCTTTATTATGTCTGATAAATAAATAAACAAATAAAAGACCATACATGACACGGTCTTTGAGGTCCTTTCCATGCATGTTGTACTTCTCGGCGAGGTAATTTAAGATGGCTTTTGTCTGAACGAGCTTCATGCCATCGATTTCCACCAATGGCACCTGTTGAAACATGAGCTTTCCATCTGCAGGGTAAACACAGAAGCTAGTAAAGCAGGGTGGCACTCCCAGGCATAATAATTCATCTTAGGCTACATCTTTGTAGGTCATGACACTCCTGAAACCTTTTGCCCACAAAAACTGCTGATTCACTTTAGTTAAAAGATGAACATGATTTTAGCTTAAATCCCCCCTTTAATTCATGTCCGTTTCATTCAGTTTTTCATATTTTAGTTACGGGTTTTGTTTTTATTAAACTCACCATTTACGAGTTTTAAATACTCTTCGCGGGTGTCCAAAAACTTCTCATCAAACTGTGAATATAAACATTTAGATCAGTTTCTGGGACAGTAATAATATGTAAAGCCTGAACTTTGAGTGCATTTTCATTATTCAGCTGTAACGTTTACCATGAAATGACAAATGTTACAGCTGATCAAGTCTGCAGGTCTTCAAAAAAAGCACTTACCTCGACTTCTGCGACTGTTAAAAGCCAGCGAATAGACTCCATCTTCCCTCTCCCATTGAAATAGTGCAGCACAACTCTTTCACCCATGATTGTTGGTTATTTTTTCCTAAACTGATAACCCGTGAACCTACAAGCAACAATGCAATCACAGTGAAATATGAGCTGCTGAATGAAGATGGAAGTGATACTACTGGATGGGAAGCTGCGATACCTGCGATCCTTCCGGCACTCGTGGAGAAGTGACTGAAGCGAAGGGAGAAGTGCAAATAAAAGTTCAGCTGTTATATAACACTTATTGAAGTCCAAGGTTTGGGCGGCTGGAGGATGAAGGCGGGGAAACATGTGATTGGTCAGTCTGTGATTGGTCAGTGCCCACCAACACAGGCTGTGAATGTGCTTTGGTAGCAAAAAAAGAAAAAATTCCCAAGATGTTAAGATTAGTTCCTCCCTGTTAGCGGTCCATAAAATATTGCGTGAACTCTTAGTCAGCTTTTTTTCTTTCCAGTTTCTTTAAGTAGTCATCAGGAATAGTTCTCCAGGCTTCTTCTTCCTCATTCAAAGCTCTTCTTTGGATGTTGGCTGCCTTTTCTTTGGATCTCTGTCAAGATGAGCCCATCACTGCTGTTGAGGTCTGGGCTTTGGGGAGTCCAATGCATGACTCATAGTGCTCCAATGTGTGTTTTTCTTTGGTGTCAGTCTCCACATTAATGCTGGTTGTAGCAGTGCATGCTGATGATGAGTTCCAGTCCAGCTCTTCTGTAATTTGGCACACTTCAGCTTTTTCTTCCCGTTTTCTTTCCTGAGAAAGGCTTCTTGCCACCCTTCCACTGAGACCATTTCTGATGAAGCTTCATTGATTAAAAATTGGCTTTTTACAGAGTTGTCTGTTATATGTAGACAGAAATCTGGCTTATCCCTCAGCTATGTCCCTTTTTTGATGCTTTAATGATTCATAGGTCAGTGTTAAAGTGGCTTGAGAAAAAGAACATTCTTGTTAAAAATAAAATAAATAATAATAATCAGCCAAATCCCAAAGAAAAATTTGGAAATGCCTCCAGAAAGCCTGGAGAACTATTTCTCAAGACCACAATAAAATAATAATAACATCTGGCTCCTTGTAAGAAAATTATAAAGAAATGAAGGATGTTGCAAGACGTTTGCACAACACCGTACTACTTGCTATTAAGCCGTTTGCCAAAATATATTCAAGTTACAGCTGAATAATGAAAATGGGCTCAAAGTGCAGAATGTCTACTTTAACATGAGGCTATTCACATGTAGACTGGAGCAAAGGTTTAGGACATGCAGTTCTTCAATATCCCGCCTTCTTCCTTTTAAAGCAAGAAAACAGAATTTGACAGGTACAGCTGTGAGCTGTCATACGTTGAATAGGCTGACGATCTGAAACAACAAGGAGTCAGAGGAGCTCTCTGTGCAAGCGAAACAGGTCATCCTTAGGCTGGAAAAATAAAGCAAATCCATCTAAGAAGGTAGGAGTATAAACTAGTTACACCAACTGATGGAATATTTTAGTTAAACCCCTTGAAAGCTTCAAGCAGAATCCAATTTTGAGTTAAAATGATGAAAACTGTGTCACTTTCCAAATATTTCCCAACCTATCTGCTTTAGTATTAATAGCTGGATTAATCCCTGACAGAGTAATCCAGCAGCCAAGCTGTGCTCATCCTGCAGCAGCTGTGGGCCTGACATGGAAACTGGGCTGACAGGTAATAGTTCCATTTAAAAGAAATAACAATAAAACGTTTCAATCGACTACAATTGCTTCATAAAAGAATAAACTGTGCGAATACCAGTACCCAGTCAAAAAGTTTAATTGTACTTGATAACCTGCATTTCAATAATTACACTCAGTTTGGCCGAGAGGGGTTAAATGTGTTACTGAACAGAAACGGATCTATACAATGTCACAACCCCTTGAATTGCATTAAAATTCAGTGACATAAAAAAGGAGATAACACATAAATGACAGCTACCTGATTGGAAATGCAATCACTGTAAAACAAAAGAATAATCATGTAAAAAGAAAAACATTACTACTGTACAGAGGCAAAGTAACTTGTCAGCCAAAAAATGTCACAGTGAATAGTTACAGTATGCATATAAAGTGTACATGTGGTAAACAACAGATATGATACAAAACTGCGAATGCAACCTCCGCAGGGCATACGTTCAGCTCCAGAAATACAAAATAAAACACTGATGAGCAAATCTGGGCTCACATTTTGGCAGGTTGCATTCTACCTGTTTACTTAAATATTTTACATATCACAACATCCATGGTGCGCACGACAAAACTGAATTTATTGCTGTGTAAGATTTATGTACACATTTTGATTATAAAACGACTATGCCTACTCTTTGGAGAGAAACAGTTCTTAGGGCACAGATCGGAGCTCAGGGGCGAGGCCACTAGCGGTGTCCGTATTTGGCAGACCAGTCCGTTCGCCCATGAATAGTCTGCAGCGGCGGGCGAGGCAGCAGACCCGGGGTGCTTTTGTTGGTCGATGGCATGTTGGCAGACGTGTTCATCTGGCTCCGGCCAGACCGCCATGTTGCATAATCTGAAACGGCAACAAAGAAACACGAAAAGCGGGTTTTGAAGGCAGTGTTTTTTTCCCTTTATAAATTCCTTTTTTAAGAACTGGGTATCAAAGAAAGCTCAGATCTGTACTCACTTGATGCTGTTGTCTCCACTGAAGGACCCTGATGCCCTCTGTGACCGGCAGAGCCGCTGTCTTTTTTGTAAAAAGATGGCATGTATCCACCTGGGACTGTATTTGTGCCTGATAGTTAAAAGCAAAAGCCCATTACTTTGAACCTCTTTAACAACAACAACAACAACAAAGAGTCTAAAGGTTACAGTGAAGTTACCGTGAGCGCCTCTACTCGGCAGAGTCCCTCCGAATGGAATACTACTGCTGCCCCAAAGATGGCTTCCAGTGAAGTCTTTACTGGCATTTATGGCCACGTTCTTCTTTGTACTAATGCCTGAAATGAACAGAAAGGCAATCATAAATATTAGACTCTTAAATGGGCAACATTTAAGAATAACAGAGCTAGGTAAACCTATTAACTGAGACCCAACATTATAGATTTTTTTTTTTAAATAAAGCCCATCCCTTACTTCTGCTATGTATAAAAATACACTGTTTATTACCAGGTAAATATCTCGACTGCCTCAAATAATGTTGCTTAGCAGAGGCAGTTCTTGATGGCTCTTGATAGGATGCAGTCTTGTTCAGGTTTAAAGGTGCATCTTCATTTCCAGTGGGTCGGCTAAAATCCAGAATATTTCCATATCTGTGAGACAAAAAAGTGGAGGGATCTGAATAACCAGCATGCACATAACTAATGTGCAAATGTCACAAACAGATCAGAGCCTCACCTGCTCGGCGTGCCCTCTCCCTGCCTCGACTTCTGTGTGGAGAAGTTACTTTTCCCAAGAATACTTATAGACGTCAGATCAGTTTCTTCGTAGTCGTCCCAGTCGTCACCCTTGAGGTGCCCTGTGCCGTGGCCCCACCGCCGCCGCCCTCCTCCTCCTTTAGGTTTCAACTGATAGCTCAGCAGGTTTGCATTTTCTGGCTCCTGCCTCGTTTGCTACACCAAGATTGGCCAAGAATATAAAGACAATGCAACAACTTGTCTCTTTAGCCTTTCACTGATTCATTTTTTCTGTGCTCTACATTTGCGCTACTCAGATGTGGATTACACAGATTTTTCAAAGCATTTAGGAGCCTCACCTTGCACTGGAGAGTCTTGTCAACGATGTAAGGAAGATGGCTCTGCGGCGTTCCCTCAGTCTGCTCCTGCTTCAGGATGTGCTTTGGCTGCTGCTGCTCTCGCACCAGCTCTGTGTGCCGCTGGTACGCTGCAGCCTGGGCGGCTGCCGATGCAGGGGAGTGCTGGACCTGCTGAAGAGGCCTGGAGGGCGAGCAGTGTTGGTTGGGAGGAGGAGGCTGGGAGGGGGGCACAGGCTTAAGCAGCAGAGGCTGCTGCTGCAACATCTGTTGAGACTGTAAAGGAGTCTGCATTGGCACACGGCTCGGCTGAGGCCTGCCCTGCTCCAAGATCTGCTGAGGCGTCCCCAAAGCTTGGCCAACATGGAAGTACGAATACCTGAGAGCCTGTGAAAAAAAAAAGTATTTGTTCTCTTCGCTAAGCTGCACAGAGTAATGGAAATACCAGGACATCAAATCAGACACTACCTGGGCAGACGCTGGTCTCTTCTTGGGATCCCACTGCAGCAGGTCGGTCATCAGATGGATGGCTTCAGGACTTGCATTTGGGATCAGTGTCTTCAGATTACTGGGAACACACTGAGGCCAACGGAAATTCATAGCACTGGCCAGCTGATATCCCTCGGGCCAATCATTCTAGAAGGAGGAGTCAGTCCACGGTTCACGTTTTGAGACTTGAAAAACTCAGAAAGCTTCACATTCTCGCTGCGTTGCCAACAGTAGACATGATCGCGCCCACTCAAGCCTGTCCTTATGATTCCACCATATGCACCGTAGCATGTTTCTAAAGGATCACAAGCAGTTCTCAACACTAATAAGCACTTAGTTTGACAGAAGTCGACTCAAACTGCACACAGCAAATAAGGAGGACTCAAAGAGTCTTTTTAAAAGACCCTTTTTTAAAGATGGCTCCTCACACTATAGAGTTTCAGTGAGGTGGACACCAACTCTTATTAAGTAACACCTTGTTTCTCCCAAACTCAAAATGTTTTTGGCTCTGTGTGTGAATAACTACCTTCTTTGGTGTACCCAAGACTTGGCAAATCTTGAATATGGTGTCTACTTCACTGGATCCTGGGAAAAGAGGCCTGAGGGTATACAGCTCTGCCATAATGCAGCCAACTGCCCACTGGTCTATAGGTGAACTGTAGGATGTGGATCTGAGGAGCACCTCTGGAGCTCGGTACCTGGTACAAAAAGAAGAGTAAGAGGACTTAGGCATCCTTCAAGTACATGAGAACTACGTTTGCTCGAAAACAAACAAACAAAAAAAAAATCAAATCACCATCTAGTTGAAACATAATCCGTGTAAGGCGGTCGAGATCTGATCTCTCGGGCAAGCCCAAAGTCAGCTATTTTCACCAGCTCTGGGCCCATGCACAGAAGATTCTCTGGCTTCATATCCCTGTGGAAAAAACCTAACCAGAGACGCGTGCATGAGCATCTAGCCAGATTGAAATGGCAGGGATGCAACATTTAATGAACACCCTG